TACTTTCATGAAATTTATTTTATTTCTTGTTTCTCTCTCGTTCTTATTGAATTTCTCCCGTTGTTACTTGCTCTTTTTTTTTTTGCCTTCTTTTACAATATAATGTTGATTTCACTGTATTTTCATTCATATATCCATCATTCGCGAGATTAATCTGGAAGTTTTTTTGAGTCAGCCCTGGAAGCTAAAGTTCGATCCTATTTGTTTCAACGATTTTGAAAGATTAGCACCGTGGAAATACTGTGCTAATTTGAATCATAAAATCGCAACCTTACCCCACATCATTATTTCCTCATATCACTTCGGTCTCAGGCTTTGTCAACATAGATGTAGAGAATAATTGAAAACTTGTGCTAATAATTGTACTCGCGTTCGTTGTAGAGTTGTATCGGCTTCAATTTCCTTTATTTTAATAGATCAAATTTTAATTTAATTTATATCAAATCAAACAGCACATTTAATTATTACTCATATTTTCTTTAATAATATTTAAATACCATTAATTCAAACTATCACATTAATATATTATTTTTTCAATAAAATAATAATTTTTCCAACATAATCATTGCAAAATCAAACCTCCAAACATAATTTAAAAATCAGCAAAATTGCCCATAACTCCCTTGTGGTTTCGAAACTCAGCGTGAATTTTCAGTCTACTTTAAAAATTGCATGACGCTCCCTTATACTTTAAAAAATATTGCATGAAACCACTTTGTGGTTTCGAAACTCAGCATAAATTCCCATTTTACTTTAAAAAATTGTATGATGCTCACTTATATTTTCAAAAATTTTGCATAAAACCCATCTGCCATGCAAAACATGTAGATATGAAATCATCTTCTTATCACACGAGGAAAGTTTCATGGTGGTGGAGTTTCATGCAACGTTTTTTAAAGTATAAGGGGGTACAATGCAATTTTTAAAGTATAGGGAGATTTTACGCTGAATTTTGAAACCACATGGGAGTTATAAACACTTTTACCTTAAAAATCTTCAAAAATCTAAATCAACATTCAAACATCCAAACAAACACAACTTTCAGCTACAATAATAGTACCATATTCAATATTGTTGATGTCATCCTAGTTGTGAATAGCCTTATTCATGTTACACTTACTTCATAACTTGCACATTTGCTTGCAACAATACTTTATGTATTGTATTGAATATATTGTAAATTATCTTTTATTCTTTCCTACAATTTTTTTTTTTTTTTTCTAAATGACAAATTATATGCTATGAGTGTACTCGTAGTAACCCTTGTACGCATCATCAACAGTGCAAAATTCTACCACGTTTTAATTAGGGTAATCTTTACAATGTAGATGATGATATAAATTATAAAATATGATGTACATAATTAAATATGTTATACTATGTATATTTAAATATCGGTGTGAGATTCCTTCCGTATCTTATCCCATATTAGTCATTTTTTTCGTAGTCTTTGGTCTCTTTTAATTATTCATACTATGTCGGTTCTGCTCTGGCTTATTCTTTCATTGAATCCCAATTAAGACATCCATCCAAAAAATGGGCATCAATGTGGTTTCAAAATGTCAATATTGTGCAGGGTAGAATATGAGTAGATCATTTTTATGATAGGTGAGCAATCCAAAGAAGCTCCTAGATATTCTTTTAACCTTTTCCACCCCCTTATATCACAAAATTATTGTACATATTTGTTATTTTTTGGAATCTTTCCTTTTCAGAACCCAACGTCTTTCATATTCACATAGTTTTAACTTTTATGATCTTTCGATTAATTTGGACGGAGCAAAATGATACAAAGTGACATGGATGTCCGAACGCCAAGATTCATAATTCTAAAACTTCTTGTCGGACGAGCTTCGAGAACCGAAGAGACACCATGCGTTGACAAATTAAAATGTTTGATGATGAAGATTGAAAGTTGGGGAGCGATTGAAGCCTATGTTGCAATGGCCAAAGATTTGTCGAGGGATACCGATGTTGGAGCTTGCAACGTCTTAATCAGACAACTAACATAAAATTTATACAAACCAAGAAGTATGTTAAAAATAGAAAATCTAATATATAATTTACATAAACCTTAGATTGCATATGCATTAAGAGTAGGGACAATGGCCCTATTTTCACCGCCCTCGCCTATGATCTCGTGAAGAATTTTTCAAAAATCGAAATAAATAACCTACAACGACCCACTCTTCAAAATTAAAATCTCGAGCTGAAGTCGCGGCCACCCGGTGCAGGCGAGGGAATGTCGAGGAGGTGCGTTTCTCGATTTCGTTGTTTTGTTCTCCTATTCTCCTCTTCTTATCCCATTTTCCTCTTCTCCCTTCTCCCTATTTTTCTTTCCCTCGCTTCATCATCTCCCCGTAGATGCGAACATCACTTAACTACATCATCTAGATTTATCCCGTCGTCAATTGTGGACTCCGATCGTGAAGCATTTTCCCATCATCTCAGAACAGATTGCTTTGAAAATAATTTTAAGGGAGATGAGATTCAGAAAGAGTACTCATAGCAAGGAGTATCACGGAACAACTACTCACCGGTGTCTTGGAGATGGGAGTGTTTCCGACGGAGTCGCTGGCGTTAGCACTAGGGTTCTTGCTGGAGAGGACGATGCGGTGTGTTAGGGCTGTGCGAGGGGATGTATTTGCGTAAATATATGTAAATAATAAATAATTGAGAAAATTTTATTTGGAGAGTGATTTTTGGTGAGCCACTATGGTTTTATTTTAATCTCACTTCCAAATGGGCTTTGACATACGACCCTGGGCTACACGTTGGACTGAAGGGCTGGATGGAGGCAAAGGCCATTGTCCCTGCTCTAATGGGGCCCATCCATTGTGACCACATATATATATTAAGGAATCTCACATGCCTCTCACATGCATGGGGGCCCACTAGGCTAGTTATTTCTCATTAGAGGATTCTTCATATAATCTATCCCACATTGGAAAATGTATCAATTGTCTCTTTCACCACTCCTATAAATAGATGTCTTGGGTGTTTTGTAAGACATACCAAGCAAAATTATATTTCAATGAATATTTGATCATTTATGATCATTCTCTTTTATGAAAGTTATGTTTGATAGCAGTACTTCTCTTTTAGTCTAATATTTTATGGAATACAATTCCACTTCATGCTTCAATAGTTCCAAAATTCGCGTTTGAGTATAAAACCTCAAGTTCGTAGCATTTGGAGAAGGTGAAAGAGTTCTTCAAATTGTCAATCGAGATGGTGTGTTCGTAGAGGATAGTTCGATGCTAAAAGGGTATCGGGTCGTGCTTGCGATTGTATCGGCTTAGGTTTGATTCTCTTTCAATTGTCTTTTTCTTGCTTTATTAGTTTCCCTTAGTTATTTCATTCCATTTTTCTTGCTTAATTAGTTTCGTTGAGTTGTTTATTAGTTAGTTCCGTCTAGTTAGTTTATTCCGTATATTGTGTAGTTGATCAATTCGGTTCATGACACAAAACATATGCATACTTAATTTACGTTGGTGCATGATTATTTGGATAATCATTAATCATTTACATACTTTTCACTACTATGGAAAGCGCACTTGGAATAAGAATTTCAACACTTCTACAAGAATGAACATCAACTCCATTGTGATTAGTCCAAACATTCCAATGAGAATCAATTGAAAGAAACTCAAGGTTGATTGGTATAAAATAAATGTTGTTGGTATCCGGAATGAAAAATTTGTTACAATCCGGCATGTGTAGAGTAATGAGAAATTATCTTGGTTGTGTTATATTTGCCTTTCATAACCGGCTTTACATCCCTTCAAATCCAATATTTCAACAACCTTCGGGCTATTCATCATGGTCTTGTGTTTGCTTCTACACAAAAATTCACATCGATTTGGATTGAGACCTACTTAAATTTCTAGAAAACCATGCCAATGGATCCTCCAAACCACTTTCCTAAAAATTGCGATTTTGCTTCGAAACATCACATGGAAAATATCACACGTCGATTGAAAAGGTAATATTGAAAGTTCTGTCTCAACTATCCTCTCAAGTGATTTAAAAATAAAATATTGTTATAAAAGCTTAGATGAAAATATATATTAATTGAATTTCTAAATATATTTCACTTTCATAGTAAGTAATATTTATATAAAGCAATTAAAATCGATATTTGTTACTTCATTTCTAAAGGTAATAATAATACAATAATAATAATAAATAAATAAATAAAAGATGTCGCTCGATAATTGTGGGGCATTGATATTGAATAATTTTGAAAAATACATATATATTAGATTTTGTCTGTTACACATGTTTCAACCTAATTAATGTGACTTGTTTTGCCATGCTAGTTTGCAGGTTACACTGAGAATTTATCTAGGGTGTATTTGTTTGGGGATTGGATTTTGAGTCGGAATTTGAATAGTAAAAATTTTGAATTTGAATAGTTGTATGATGTGATATAAATAGGTGTTGATGTGATGTTTTGAATGTAAAATTGATTGATTTTTAATATAATATAAAAAATAAAAAATAGGTGTTTTGATTTGATATTTTTGGGGGAGAAATTTTGGATGAACAGTAGAATTTTGATAAAATCCTACAACGAACACACCCCTAAAGTATATTAAGGAGAATAATTCGAATAAGAGAGTAAAAATAGGAAATACTTAATAATATTACTAATAATGATAATATAAAAACAAATATGTATTCACATTATCATGTTCACAATCTAAAATGCCTTCGGAACTTAAGGTTGTACTTAGATTAATGTAATATTTTTAAAATATTACTGTAAAAAAAAAAAAAAAAAAAATTTAATTCAAAAAATTTCAAAAATAATATCTTCTGCAAATCAAACGCACCTTCGATATTCTAGTCATTTCTACCGCCATTACTGCACTTCTTCAGTCGGCGTACGTTAGCGTTCTGAATTACGGTTTCCCGCAGCGCAAAACTACAAACCCATGGTTATATTTATGGGCTGGCAAATGCTGCCAAAGGCTCTGTACATTTGGCGTCGCGTTGATATCTCCGCAACACTTAATGGCGATAGTTCGTTTTGTTCTCATTCGGCGGATCTTTTCCTCGTAATGTGTAGAAATTGACAGCTTCTACTGAGAATTGTGCGTTTGAACGGACTCGAGCAGAGGTGGGTGATTTTTTGGAGTTCTAATGGTTTTTTGAGTGTTGGTGTTCCCTTGCCTCGGTTAGCGTTGGTTCGTCAATGAAACTGGTTATTTTGTGTGTGAATGCAGAATTGTTCCCCTTGTTGTGTATATTTTGGTGTTTTTGCTTGTTTTGTGGAGAGTAGGTTTTTGATTATTTTGTTCTGTTGCGTTTGATGCAGGTGAAGTTTTGGTTCCTTGAATCGTGAAGAGGAGTAGAGAACGGAAACCACATTTCTGGTTGGAATGGAGAACGATAAGCTTTTACCTTTTTTTATGTTCTCGTCTGCTTTCTAGAATTTCTGATATCTGTAGCTGCAAACATTTTATTTCCATTTCTACCGTGTTACAGTGATCAATTGAACTTATTGAGTATGGTGTTTGCCTTTTCTGGTCGATATGCAATTGGCTATAAATTGTATCGTTTAACCTTTCCGCTGCATATGAAAGTGACTTCTCCCAGTTGCTATGCTGAATTTTTGACAAATTTTCTTTCTATGTTCATAGCTGAGCTATGGGGGCAGGAAAGAATAACTCACGAGCTCTTCCAAACAAGCAAAAATCTGGAGGCACCAGGACGCTCTACACTGGTGCAAATTCTAGGAATTTATCTAAGAATGAGCTTGGTGGAGTTATATTTGGGTGCAAGAATTATACATACGATGAATGTGTGGAGAACAAAATCTTTGGTGTGTTTTCCACTTTGGCATGCATGTTTATGCTTTAAGGTTTTGGTTATTGTATCAGCTCTAACATTCTTTTTTTCTAAATTCTTGAGCAGGATTGCCGGCACCACATATTTCGTATGTGAGGAATGTCACCCCTGGTCTTGCATTATTTCTTTTCAATTACAGCAGTCGAAAGCTTCATGGAATTTTTGAGGCAGCTTCCCATGGGCAGCTAAATATTAATCCATTTGCGTGGATTACAAACGAAGGCACTGAGACTACTCCATTTCCTGCGCAGGTAAGATCCCGATGTTGATTTTTATATCAAATGGATGTTCTTTTATGCTCACGCACGTAATGGTGTTGATAATAAATTACAGCCACGTGTTTCGTAATTACTGTTTGATCTTAGTTCGGTGATTTCACGTGTGGTTGCGTTGACTTGGACATTCTGTTGTACATCAGGTCCGGATTAGTTTTCAGAGGCAATGTCGGCCTTTGTACGAGGAAGAATTTAAGCCAATCATAGCAAGAAATTATTATACTGATAGGCTGTTTTGCTTTGAGCTCGACAAAACACAGACTACAAAACTGATCCAATTATTCATATCGTCATCAGTGCCAGAACCGAAGCCTCAACAACCGAAAACCGTCAAGATGACCAATGTAGCTGCAGCCAAGAAGAACAATAAATTTGGCATTTTGTCTAGCCACGAGACTGAGGACGACACTGAGGAACTAGACCCACCAGAATCTTCTGGATGGCCAGATCTGAAGCAGACTGCATATTCATCTGCCTCAGGTAATATTGACGTCAAGTGGGAGTATCCCTCTTCAGGTCACGACACAAACTGGTACCTTCCAGAACCTCTGGGTTTAGTTATTGCAAAGACCGATTCATCTCTCCAAGAATCATGGGATGAACTTGGAAAACATGAAAGGAAGGATTCTCTTGTGGCTGCACATTCATCTGCCTCAGGTAATATAGATGTCGAGTGGCAGTATCCGTCTTCTGGTCAAGACACAAACTGGTTACTACCTGAACCTTCGGGTGTAGTTATTGGAAAGGCCGATTCATCTCTCCAAGAATCGTGGCAGGATCTCGAGAAACATGAATCTAAGGATCCTTGTGTGGAAGTTCACACCCAAGACTCATGGTCCGACTACACAAACATGCCACAATCAGAGAGCTTACCTTACTTAGGTGTAGAGGCTGGAGTGTCGATAGACACAGAGTCTGAGCTGGTTAAGGTGGATACTGATGCTTTGAATTGCAACAAAGAAGATGTAATATCTGACAATACTTCGGAACCCATGGAAAAGAATGAGGATCTTCCTAAAATAGATACTATTGCTACGTCTTCGGAAGTTGAAGCAGATTTAAAATCTTCTACTCATGAGTCCATCATCATTAAGGTTGCTAAAGATATCTGATCAATTATGTAGTTATTTATATTCTGGATTATTTTTCATTGGTTTTCTCTTTCTCATTCATTCGTTGTCGTGTTCTATGAAGTTAATGCACGAAGTTGAGGAATTGAAGGTGACTCAGTTGCAGCAGAAGCAGAAAATCGAATTCCTTGAGCAAGCATACAAGGTTGATTTTCAGGGTTTAGTAATCTCATATTATTTATTTATTTCTATTCAGTTGTTCTGTTCTCCCACCTAAAAACTTGATCAGTATAATCTTGAAGTTTCCTTTGATTGTGAGTGTCTCCACTTGAACTGTCAGGGCCTTTGTACGGGAACTATCCCAACTCATGCAAGCGATCACATGGATATAAAGAACTCCAAATCAGCTAGTCTTCCGTCAGACGATAATGTTTTCATAGTTGGAGGTTATGATGGATGTTCGTGGCTTCCAGAGTTGAGTTCATACTCACCATCTCTGGACCATATTATTCAACTTTGTCCAATGACTTTTACGCGGACATACAACGGCATAGCTCAGCTCAATGGTGAACTCTATGTCTTTGGTGGTACTGGTACTGGTACTCATAATAAAGAATGGTTTGACACAGGTATATTTCATGAGCGACGTACCCTTTGACTTAATTCTGTTTCGAAAATCTCTTGAGTTGAATTAATGAATCTTCTTGATGGCAGTTGAATTGTACAAACCTACATATAATCAATGGTTCCAGAGGCCTTCTTTAAATAAACCAAAAGGAAGTTTAGCAGGTGCATCCTTGGGTGAGAAAATTTACGCCATTGGTGGCGGAAGTGGATCCGAATGCTACTCCGAGGTGGAAGTATTTGACATAAACAATGATAGGTGGATCTTCACTGAGCCTATGCTCGAAAAGGTATGGCTTTCAAACTTCTACTTAGTTTAATTTAAGGTATGAATGGCAACACAGTGCTTATCTGCAATCCTTAGGTGAAGATTCAATCATCTATCATTAGCACTCTTGTACATTTGTATTGTCTTGGGACGATTAGTTTTCATTTTATTTTTTTGTTGTAGCGTTTTGCACCGGCTGCTACTACTATTAACGGTGCAATCTATGTTGCTGGTGGCTATGATGGGAGAGTCTACTTAAGGTTGAACACGCCATCTTTGAATGCTTCGTTAATTTGTTTTACTCATGTCATCAATCTCATACTTAAGGATTCCTACAATCTCTATGTTTCAATCTGATCCAGGTCTGTCGAACGATTTGATCCTAGAGAAAAAGCTTGGACTGCAGTTGCAAGCATGAACTCAAAGAGAGGATGCCATTCTTTGGTCACATTCAATGAAAAAATGTAAGTTCAATTGAGTTCAGTAACCGTCTAGTATTAAATAGAATCGTAGTATTAAATAGAATATATATATATGTTAAAACAAAATATTTGATTTATTCTCTAAAAAAGATTCTTTATTTTTTTCCTTACTTAGATGTACATATAGTGATTATAAGTATTGTATTTTGATTGTAAATGAAAAATAAAATTTACGATGGAATTTTTTTTTTCTTTGACATGGTATCAAAACATGTTTGCATTCACTCCCATCTTCTTCGGTGAAAAATAAATAAATTGCATCATATTTTCCATTTTTCATTTACAATCAAAGTACAATATTTATAATCGTCTGTAAGTTATATCTAAGGAAAGGAAATAGAGAATCTACACTAGTTACAATGAATCAAATATTTTGCTTTTAACATGTCTATATTCTTTTTAGTACTAGATTATATATTAGTTAATGTTAGGATATATTCAGACACTACACATTCTAATATCAGAAACATGGTTAGCTATGTTCGATGAGGTTTAAAAAGTGCGATGTCACTCACATTGTCTGGATATAAAATCTTGTCTATTATCTCGGACTGTTATCATTGTAGATATGCTATGGGCGGCCACAACGGAACCGAGATGGTGTCTACAACTGAGGTGTTCGATCCGCGCACCGGGTCTTGGGCTATGGATGAACCCATGCATTTCGCGAGGGGATATTTTGGGTCTTTTGTGCATGGGGGGAAGATATATGTCCTCGGGGGCGTGATGGATAAAGTAATATTGAATAGAGTAAGTGATTTCACGACTCTCTAAACCTTAAACAAAGAATGTTGTGCTAATTATTGCCATACTTTACAACGATGGCAGGTCGAGTGCTATGAAGAGGGCTTAGGGTGGCGAAATGCTGGGCTCGCCGGTGCCGGTAGGAGATGCTTCTTCTCTGCCATTGTTATGAAATGAATGGCAAACTGATGGGACTGTATCCTTAGGTATGTTCGTCTTCTTTTTTTCTCTTGTTGGCCTGAACTCCATGAAAATGGTTGTAGGCCCTTGTGGCTTGATGCCTTTGCTAATATACAATGCATGCATGATCTTCTTTTGAATGCTTGTTTTATTTCTTCATGTTTTTTGTGCTTGTTTTATATGAGGCTTGAGTGTATGTTAAAAGTATTTTAAAATTTATAATTATATATAATATAATATTCTCCTTTAATATATACTCACTCCTTCCGCTCACGTTAAAAATATTTTTATATTTGTATAATTTTTTAAACAAATATTAGGGGATTTCTACTAGTGTTATAAGACTTTAATGAAAGTATTTGCAAAAATCCTTAAAGTTGGACGGAGGTAATATAAGATTTATATTATTTTTTTCACAAGTATTTTAAAGACAGTGAGTGATTGAAAGTAGTAAACGAATATTTGTCTTTATTTTTTAATATAAAAATAATGATATAATGGTAAACTGTGGAGTTTTTGTAATGAATTTAAGATCATCTCTAATCCACCTTGTAAAAACAGCAATTTTGCAATTAATATTATTTATATTTATATTTTGCAATTAACATTTTTTGTATTTATATTTTAATATTATAATTAATATTATTTTTTATATTGTATTTAGTATATTTAATTAAATAATATTATATATTTTTTTCTATTTTGCATAAATATTATTTAATAATATTAAAATTTTAATTTATTTAATTTAAAATATTTATTATTTTTTAAGATCAAATAATAATAATAAAAATTAATTTAATTTATTAATAATATTTAAAATATTTTAAAAATATTTAATGTTATTTAAAAATTATAAAATATAGAGAGAATACTATTAGACTCTTGGGAGTATGATTAGAGAAAAAATAAAGGGAATGGTGGAAGATGGAGAAATTTGTTTTGGTTTTGAATAATACTCCCTTCGTCCCATAACAAAGTATCTATTTTTCATTTTAGTCCGTCCCATAACTGTATTATCTACCTAACGTTACAAATATCCTTACAACTTACAATATATTATACAGATGTCATTACTTTTATATCACATGTACTAATAATGTTATTTTAGTCATTTCTATTTTATTTTTATTATATCTCAATATAATATTAATATTTTTAAAACTACGTGCAAAAAGTAAATGAATACTTCTTTATGGGAGGGAGGGAGTAGTAAAATTTTGAATTGAAATAGTTTATTGATGTGATATAAATATGTATTAATATGATGTTTTTAATGTAAAATTTAAATTTAATGTAATATAATAAATAAAAAATAAATGTTTGATTTAATATTTTTTTAAAAAAATAAAATTAGAACAATAAAATCAGATAAAAAATTGTACGTGTAAACACAGGCATTTACACGTGACATTGAGGAGTAAGGAGTTACAATTGAACCGGCGACATAGATTGCATCGCCAGGCATTGATTCGGTCAGTAGTATTATTAGTTATCTTACCCAATATTATTAGTATTAGTTGCTTCACTTTTATTTTTACTCCATCAATAAAATATGATATGGGACCATTTCTAATTTATTATTATTATTTTTTAAATTTTAATTGTATTAGAAATTATATTTTTTCCATTAATTATTTAAAAAGCTATTTTGAAAGAAAAAATTCACCACCTCTGTAGAAGAACATTTAAATATACTAGTTAACATATTTTAAGATTTAAATGGTAAAAAATTTGAATTTGAATATTTTTATGATGTAATATAAATAAATATTAATGTGATAAGGGTGTGTTTGTTTAGGAGTTTGGATTTTGAATTAAGATTTAAATGGTAAAAAATTTGAATTTGAATATTTTTATGATGTAATATAAATAAATATTAATGTGATAAGGGTGTGTTTGTTTGAAGGATTTTGAAGGATTTCCACTATTCATCCAATTTTTTTCCCCCAAAAATATCAAATCAAACACCTATTTTTCATTTTTTATATTATACTAAAAATCAATTTTACATTCAAAACATCACATCAAATCCTATTTATATCACATCATACAACTATCCAAATTCAAAATTTTTACTATTCAAATCCCAATCCAAAATCCAAACCCCCAAACAAATAAATGTAAAATTGATTTTTAGTATAATATAAAAAAATAAAAAATAAATATTTGATTTGATGTTTTTGGGAAAAAAATTTTGTGTGAATTTAGCATAATTTTTCTAAATTCCTTCAAACAAACACACCTTATGAGTTTATTTTAGACGCACTTGCAAAGTATTTGAAGATTTTGGATTATTTTGGGATGATATAAATTTGAAAAAAAAATAGATGTTGAATATGATATAAATAGTAAAAATAATAGTATTTGGAATGAAAAATATGTTTGATTTATGCTTAAAAAGTAGTTGAATGTGATATTTAATAAAAATAGAAATGTATTTTATCATGAACAATAAGAAGATAAAAAGAAATTTAAAAAAAAAAAAAAAAAAAAAAGAAAGAAAGAAAGAATAATATAATGGTATTGTGTAACAAACATATTGAAAATTTTACACTCAATTCTCCATTCATTTAATTATTCATTCCTTGGCTTCTAATAAAAATATATTAATATATTTTTTTTAATAAAATATTATATCAAAATACTATTTAAATAAAAAATTGATAGTTTGATGTAGTTTGAAAATAATTGAAAATAAGATATTAAATCTGAATTTTTATTTAAATATGATGTTTTGTGCGAAAAAAATTAGTATATATTAATTAAAAATCCTCAAATCAAAACTTCATTTCAAATCAATTTCAACTTCAGCCAAACAAACCCTAATTTCATTTATACATCAACTAAATAATACACAGCCAACAAAGATTGGAAAATGCATATTTAAATTATATGGGAAAGAATGTGATTCTTCTTGATCACTTTGATGATTTTGACCGTTGATTAGTTGACATGAACACACCCAAAAAAAAAAAAAAAGCCTTATTGTTCTAAAGTTTGGCAGATAAAAAAACAGATATTAAAGTTTGGAATAATTTGGAGTAACTCAATTTGCACATTTTTATGTATACGTTACAATATCCGAAATTAGACACCTTTACTATGGTGAATACGTACGATGTTCCGAATCTATCCAGAAAACACTTGTATTATATTCGACAATAACATATTCTATTAAATCGAAACTCTTGTAAATTTTTACTCGGCGTTATTATTTTCTAATACTGGATTTAATCATCAACAAAACAAATATAATGCACAACTTTTCAGATTGATCATTTATTTTTATATCCCGCTCTTACCAAATTTTTCTATGATTTAAATATAAATTTGATGCAAAAAAAAAAAAAAAAAAAAAACTTGGGTTAATTAGATATAATTTTATAAAATTTTAAAAATAGTAAAAATTAAATATTTAAGGTTCGTCTTAAAATAGATATTCTTGATGTTGTAATATAATGCTTGTCTTACAACTCTTTGATGTAATATTTAGACGAAAATCTAAACCTTTGAAGATAAATATCCTAAATTCTTGTTTGGTGTTGACATAATTGGACTGAAATCATTGGACGCGCGTCGATTAGGTGCTGATATAATCAAATCAATATGCTAATTTGATCAGGTCAACATATCACATAAATGTCGATTCAATCAAAATATGCACGGCCCGAAAATCTGATTCAAATCCGACAAGAAAAAATTATGTTTGGGCTTAAAAAAATAGACCCGAAAATAAATCGGATCGTGTCTGATCCAACACGATAATAAACCGCGCCGTGCCTGGCCCGGCCCCATTTTATAATTTGAATATATTAGAAATAAATAATTTTATAAATATATTAATAAATAAACATATGTTAAAAATTGAAGTATAGTCCAATGATTGAGGTTTTATATTATTATTATAAGTTATAGATTCAATTTCTATATGATATTGAGGTTTTATATTATTATTATAAGTTATAGATTCAATTTCTATATTTATCATAATAGATTTGTATTATAATTTTTAAAAGTTTTAATTTAAAAATAAAAAAATTAAATCGGGCTAGCCCGCCCGGCACGGTTTTGACCAGAGCCGTGCCAGGTCTAAATTTTTAGGCCTGATATAAACCAGGATAGGCTTGTCTTGATCCAAAATAAATCAGACCAGTTCGGTCCGACACAAAAAAACTGTGTTGGCCTGATATTGTCACCTCTTCATAAATGCATACGACATACTCCTATATATTTTTATAATACAGTATATGTTTATTATAAAATATTTTATGTTGAATTATAACATAATATAAATATGTTATAGAGGATTTATTTAAATTAATCTATTTTGTTTGAGATAATATAATTTATTTGAAATTTGGGAAGTTATAATGAATTTTTAGTTCACCCCATTTTAACATTTTAAAATTATAATAATTTTATATATTTTATAATATCATAATTTATCTTTTATTTATTTATTTATTTATTTTTATCAACAAGACCTATTTAGTTACAAAATGACCTAAAAAGAATGCATCTAAATGACGACTTGAATTTGGTAATTTTGGGACATACAAATGTCAAATGAGTTCAGCAAATCTACCTATGCCTGCTGCTAACATATAGCAATTTTTTTTGCTTGCACACTAAACAATAATAATATTAATATTAATATATTTAAAAAAAAAAATGAAATGACATTTCTTGTTTAAGTAACAAACTTTTTGCATTGAACATTGGATTGGATTTTCCCTAATGAAGAAAATTTCATTTCCCAATAGATTTTCAATTACATACAACTCCCAGTAAGCATTGAAATTAAGGGTGTGTTTGTTAGTAAGTTTGGATTTTGGGTTTGAATTTATAATCAGTAAAAAGTTAAATTTAAATAGTTATTGATGTGATGTTTTGAATGTAAAATGAATTTGTAGTATAATATAAAAAAAAAAATTGTTTAAATTGATATTTTCGGAGAAAAAGAAAATTTGAATAGTAAAAATGTGAGTTAAAACTCACAAAAGATCATAACCTAATTTTTTTCCAATTAATTATGTAACCTCCCTCTATAAATCATCATCATCATCATCATCCTCTTGAATCTTGCACGCAATTAACTCTAATTGCAATCATTTGAATTTAATTATTATTACATATATATA